TACGAGGAACTAAGGATGTTTTTCTAATCTATAGAGGAGATGAAGTAATAGTGAAAGGGTTCATAGATGTTAGTTTTCAAACCGACCATGATGATTTTAAGTCACAATCGGGATTCATTTTCCAATTGAACGATGAATTGTTAGTTGGAAAAGTTCCAAGCAAGAAACGAGTGATCGACTCAACAATTGAGGTTGAATATATTATAATCTGCGAAGCGGCTAAAGAAGCTGTTTGGATTCATAATTTTTTATTTGGACTACAAGTGGTTCCTAGTATTGTTGATCCAATAGTATTGTACTACAATAATAACGAGTTATAACATAAGCTAAGGAACCAATATCTCATCAATAGTCCATGTATGTATTACGATGCTATCATCCGATTAAATAGATTATCAATCGTGGTGACATAAGGATAGAAAAGGTCTACACTAACGATAACATAGCCGACCTCTTGACTAAGCCTTTATCATAGCTAAAACATGAGACCTTTACTCGATCGTCGGGATTAAAGGACATGACTGGTTGGTTTTTGTGCAAGTGAAAGATTGTTAGTGTATGTGTATAAGATCTAATCATGTTTGAATGAGTTTAATTTATTGTATTATTTATATTATTTTAAAAAAATTCTATTAATTCTTGTCATTTACATTTATTAATTGAATAGAATTAGATAGAAGCCCATATAATATTTATTTGCATTAGTGATCGATCGAAAGATGTGAGATAAAAATTAATGCATGTAAATAATATCATTAAATGTCTCAAGTCGTAGTATTGTTAAGAATGGATATTGATGATATGCGGTTAAACTTATGAATGCTATGTCTCCTATACGACGGTAGTAGAAGATATCACGACTATTGATATGATGATGCCAAAGTAAGCACTTAAGTGATTTATGTTAGAGAACATATCACTCGGACTTGACTCATCATGAGAACCCATTTGGTTTAGTCCGTGGGAATCTCATACGAGATGGCTACAACTAGTCCTTAGACTTAAAGTCATCACGGTTATCTCATTAGAGGATTTATACACTTTGACACTCATTTCGATGGACCTAGTAAAGGGTTGTATATGGTCAATTCATTGGGTGCACTAGGAATCTAATGGAGGGAGGTGAATGACTAAAATAGGATATGTCATTCCTTGTATGCTAAAGGAGTTATCATATTGCACTTTGATGAATGTCTACTTAAAAAATCTATGGCCATAGTAAGAGTACATCAATAGAGCATAGTTAGTTTACTCTAAGAGCTAAGACATTTAGGAATCGAAGAAAAATTATGTGATCATAATCGAACATGAATTATAACCAAATTTGAGATCACATTGTGATAAGTTGATATAAGCACTCGAATTGTGTAGTAATCATGCTCGTGAAAGGTAATAATGAGTTACTTAATCCTCCTAGAGCATTGGGTAGTCATGATGCCTCACTAAAGATCAATCTTGACTTATGTATTAATAGATAAAGAAGTCTCTTTTATCCTTGATACATTGTCAACATATCTAGGAGTCTATTGAGTCACACATATAAGTTTAAACATTCACATGATTAAATTGAAACAAAGATATTGAAAAAAGTTTCTAATTTTAAAATTTTCCTATTTTTGGAAAGGATTTTCGAAAATGAAAAGTTTCCTAAAATAAATTTTTTTCTAATTTATAAATTAGTTCCAAATTTAGAAGTATATAACGTAAAATGAAAATTAGTTTCCTAATTTAGGTTAAAGGGTATTTTAAAAAATTATTTCCTAATATGAGCCACCTAAAATTATCTAAGTTTATTTATTTGGATAGCCCAAATTAATTAATTAGGCCAAAATGACTTTAGGTCAATAGGTTTAATTAAAAGCCAAAACATATTTTGATAAGAGGATAAACATGACCTTATTGGATAAAGGTGAATATTTTAAAGATAAAGATCAAAAGCTCACATGTTAAATAACTCCTAATCGTTATAGGATTAGGAAGCAATAACCAAGAGTCCAATAAGGACTAGTTGTCTCCCCTCTCAATGTACTTGGAGGACAAAGAAACTCTTCCCCTATAAATAGGAGGAGAGATGCGACAACGAATATAATTTTTGGGGAGAGAAATTTCACATAATTAAAAGGAGAGCTAGGGTACATGACAAAAGAAAACAAAAAAGGAGAAAATAGTTTTCTCCTAAAAATCCTAGCACACACCATTTTCCTCATCTCTTTGGGTTGTCACAAAATTACCTAGATTATATTTCTATAAGAAACATTAAATAAATCGGAAAAGATGGAGCTAGCACTCTATTAGTTTTGAGTGCTTCTTTGTGGTTGCTTGATCTGTGTGGATAATTAATAGAGGTCGGATGTTTGGATGGCTCCTTTCTCTGCTAAAGAATTTAGATCTATGCTACGAGTGATAATTCTTTATTCAATGCTTTAATTCATAAATATATGGTTAGTTGATTCAATGGCATGATCCTAGACCTTTTAGATGGAGAAAATTTTTGTTTTATTTCACACCTTCATAAGATGCATAATCCTTTAGGTTGACCTAACAAAGCCATATGAGGTACATATTAATGCTTCGATTTCACTATAAATGGTGTGTTATTATACGAACAACATCCTATAGCTTACAAAAGTAGAAAGCTAAATAAAACCGAACGTTGATATTCAATGTAAGAGAAAGAGATGATCGTAGTGATACATTGCTTGCGTACCCGAGGCATTACTTGCTAGGGTATCAATTTATGATAAAGATGGACAACGTAGCCATGAGTTGCTTCCAAACTCAAAATAAGTTGATATCGAAACATGCCCGATGGCAAGACTTTCTTATCAAATTTAACTATTTCTTTAACTACAGGCAAGACAAGACCAATGTGATGGTTGATGCACTTAGTAAGAAGGTTAAGTTATATCACATGATGAAGTTGGATATGGAGATCATGGATAAAATTAAGAAAGGAATGGAGCATGATCCCATCAAGAGTTTGTTGGCCCTTACAAGGAAGGGCGAAACTAGAAAATTTTAGGAGGAGGATGGCATTAGATCGTGGCCAAAATCAAGAAAGGAATGGAGCATGATCCTATCAAGAGTTTGTTAGCCCTTACAATGAAAGGAAAAACTAGAAACTTTTAGGAGGAGGACGAAATTCTTTACATAATAAGGAGGAGAATTTATGTGCCTAAATAGAGAAACCTCCGACGAGATCTAATGAAAGAATGCAATAACTCGATATGGGTTAGTCATCCCGGACAATAACGCACTTGAGCTTTACTTGGAGAGAGAATATTTTTAATCACGGAACCATGACGAGGTGGAGTCCTATATGAGAACATGCTTAGTGTGCCGGTAAAATAAGATTAAAAATCGAGTGCCTAAGGGTCTATTGCAGCCTTTGTCTATCGCGGAGAGACTATGGGAGACAACCACCATAGACTAAATAATGGCTATGTCAAAATCAAAAAACTTTGGGAGCATTATTGTAATCGTGGACAAGATCTCTAAGTATGCCACTTTCATACCATCCTTAGTGGATATGACCGCTAAGAACATCGTTAAGCTACTCTTCAAACATGCGAGTGAAGTATTGGAACGTGTCATGACATATAATCGATGATCAAATCCTCAATTTACTTAGAAGCTATGCACTAAGCTATTCGACTTGTTGGGCTTGAAGTCGCATTACTCCATGAGTTTTCACCCTTAGACGGATGGGCGGACCAAGAGAGTCAATGCTTTATCGGAGACATATTTAAGGCACTTTGTGTGTTGCAAATAGCAAAATTAGGATAAGTTGCTCGAATGTTGCCAAGTTCGCCTATAACTTATAAAAGAGTGAGTCTACTAGATAGTGTTCATTTGAGATCTTGACGGGCCAGTAGCCCTTCACTCCATATACATTGGTGCTTGGTAACAAGTACCAAGAAAGCAACCTATAACATATTTAATGGCTCAAGGATGGAAAGAGCGAGTCGGACTTGATGCGATTGTATTTGAACAAAGTTGCCAAAAAGATGAAAAGTGGGCTAACAAGAAACGAAGAGATATCATCTCCTAGCTAAGTGACAAAGTGATGATGAAGTTGATACCACAACAATATAAGGCATTTTAAAAGGTGTACGAAGGCCTCATATGTTGATATGAAGGACCATTTGAGGTAGTGCGCAAGGTGGGATAGGTGTCCTATCGACTAAAGTTGCCACCGAAGTTAAAGATCCATCTAGTGTTTCATGTTAGTATGCTGAAGCGATACCATGCGGATGAGGAGGATTCAAGTCGAGGAATTTCATAAGGCACCTACGGTAATGGTTGACTCATATGACAAAAAAGTTGATGTCATACTTGATGACCATATAGTCGACGCCAGTAAAGTGCCATCAAGAAAGGAGTATTAAGTAAAATGGAAGGGATTACTAGAAAGTGAGGCTAGTTGAGAACCTACTAAAGCCTTGTGGCAATTTGTACGGAAGGTCGAAGAGTGTAATGAAGGCGCGTTAAGGACGTTACCAAATTAGATAGGGGAGAATGTTACACCTCGCACGAAAGAGGGATTTTTCTAGAGGTAAATTAGGAATGGTAGACAAGTTTGAAAGCCTCTGAAGACTACGAAACAATGAAGAAACCTCTAGAATGTCCAAAAGAAATATAGTCATGTCCTAGAGAATTTTGGGCATGTCTTAGAGAATTCTAGAGAGTCCCTCATTATTCTAACTTATACATATCTAAATAGTTTCTTATAAATATCTAGATAGGATAATTCTAAAGAATCAATTGTAGACATTAGATCAAATATATCCTAGCCATCCATTGAGGAGGTAAGGGACTATAAATAGATGAGGCCTTTATTTGACAAAGACATCCATAAATCTAAAAAAGTGTAATCTTAGAGTTGTAAGCTTTAGAGAGCAATATAAAAAGCTCTTATATCTCTTGTGTGTGTCTGTCATGCTTGCTAATTTTGTGTGAAGAAGACCGACTTGGTTTGGCTTAGAGAAGAAATAAGTCAAATGTCGCACGAGAGCTTGGGAAAGGCCAAGTCCATGACACTACACTCTTATAGTTTTCTGTGTTCAAAAGTCTTGAAAATATCTGGGTTCCAATTACTTAACCTAGAAATCCAATGTCTTGGATATATGAATCTAACAGGATTATTGTCTAGGATTGAGATTTTTGAACCAAAGCTTGTGTCTTTCATCTACAAACCGTCTCACGCAGTAGATTTCTCTGGGCTCCACCTTCCGTCCCATAACTATCCCCATATTCATGGTTGTACTAAGCAAGACAAGAAGAGAGAGGCCTATCTGGACGCGATCAATCTTTTCAAAGGGCTTGGTAATGCACAATCTGTCAAGCTACATTCAGAAACCATTGAGGTAATTATATGTACATATCTTATGCATCATCTTAGCTAGTACTAGTTTGTTGCTTCGTTGCTTGCGCACGATATATATTAGACCTCTGTTTGCATTCGGCAATTGAAAAAAAAAAAAATCATTTTACATTGCTGCTGAAGATTTCTTTGATTAATGTGTATCATTTCTATCAATGTTAGAGCTCTGTATATATATATATATATATATGTACTTCGCTGGCCTGAGTTGCAAATATATGCGTGCTTGCTCTTGTTTTTTATTTTCCTTAAAAAACGCTGTTGATAATTATCTCTAACTTGGGCTTTTGGTTTCTCTTATAATTAGGTCCTTGGTTCATTTCCTGGTTTGCTAGAACTAGAACCTTCTCCTTTTAAAAGATTGAAAGTTGCCCCCGACAATAAATCTTTGGTAACTCCCCATGTGATGACCTACTTACTTGGTGGCACTTCTCATGCAGATTTTCTATAGGTACTTACTGCTCCACAGTTTTATTTCTACATATAATGACTTTAGATTATATTCTTCAGCTGTTTGATTCATTGTTATTATCGATTTTTCTGGCATGTCATCAATTACCTTCTTCGTAAGCTGGATATATACTTGATTGTTATTATGTTATTATTGGTGGTTCTGACAGTACTCTACGATGCTGAAAATTAATCTGCCTTGCAATTCTTGTAATTAATTGCACCTGTTCTTAATTAGGATTTGGTTAGACATGATAAATTCGTTATCTTGCAATACGTCCATAGTCCCAAGCATTTTTAGTGGATTAGGTGTTAAAAACTTCACACTTGATAGAAAAGAATTTGAATTCGTGCCCCTGCCTCTAGTAATTCAAGCTGGTCAGAGAACATTAGTAACAGGTTCCTTTTTTTTTGGAGGGGATGGGGAAGGAGCTCGAGCTCAATGTTTGTTTCCCTGATCTCCAGCACCTGGCACAAACTCCTCTAATCTGGAATACGATATATTCATTTCTTTAGAGAGCTGGAATCTATCACTTGCTTATATCAATAATATTTGAAATCAATGTACTTCCTAGGAAGCAATCTGGAAGTTGCATAATGCAGAAAATCTCTAGATATGTAGCTTGAAACACATTGTTGGCTAATATGAATATTGTTAACTATGCATATTCGAGATAGGGTTCTTGAATCATCTGTTATTATCTCATTGTAATCCAGGTCCATAGCTACAACTGAAATGCTCTCTTACTTTCTTGCAGATGGAGGTTGATGTATGATACAGCTGCATCAACACAAGGAGTCAGTCCATCTCACAGATTTGATTTAATCTCAACATTTTCCTTTGCTTACCTTGTTTGTTGAGCATAGAGGCTTATATTTTGTGATGTTCTTCCGTAGGTTTGTTAAGAAGAAGAGGCATAGAAAGCAGTTTTCAGAGAAACTGCCTACAGTCGTTGAAGAAAGTCATCTGAAGCAATGCGCATGTTTCTTTCTTTCTTTTTTCCCCCTCCATGTTACGAAGTTGGATACTGGTGGTAATAACTGAACCATATTTACTGGTACACAAAAAATCTCTTGTTCGCTATCACTACCCATTAATTTCCTTTTTCTTTTTTCAGTAATCTAACCGTCATCATCCATTCACGAATTAGAATGGCAAACAAGAACGCCCTTGGTTGATTTTGAAAGTTGGAAGAGTATTCTTGCGAGATCAGATAAGAACTCAGTTTCCATAGGCGGCCAAGGTACTATTTGTGTGCTTCGGAATTCTCTGGAGGGACGCCATATCGATGTCCGAGGGAACATTTATGCTTTTGGTTTTCTTTTACTAGAAATAATCAGTGGAAGACCTCCATACTGCGAGGACAAAGAGCGCTTGGTAGATTGCTGGGTTCATCGAAATAGAGGAGAGAGGGAGGGGAGAGAGAGAGGGAGGAGAAAGAATATATATATATATATATTTTATGTGGTAAAAAAATATATTACGCATAGTGTCACGTAAATTATTTTATGATAATTGTTAGTTTTGATAAAAAAAAATTGGGCAAAAAATAATCAAGAGTCATACCAAGAAAAAATAGAGAGTAAATAGAGAGATTGAAAAAAAAATCAAGAATAAGGAATGTTTGATGTTATTTATTTATTTTTTTTTTTAGTTACCATTGAAAATGATCCAACTTTGTCCTGTATTCAATTCCTATTTTCCCACTTTTATCAACTTTTTGACCAGACTATTTATCAAACAGTAGGCTTACTTCAACATGAATGTCCCATGGAGGACGTCTTCCACCGCTCCTTGCTATGTTTTTGTGCATATGGTTAAAATAAGTGATTATGTTAAAATGATTGGTGCCCATTTGTCTTGTCTACCCAAATATCGAAATGCAAAATGCAAACACCTCTTAAGGCCCCACCTTTTCAACGACTACTCGTGGGTCAAGAACTCCCTTGTTTCCATGTTCACGAGTTACTCGCACGCTCATAGACCTATTGAGCCATTTCTCCTCTCGGCAAATAGCAGCTTGTGAACAGAGATTTCCTAGACGGGTATAGGAACAAAACGGAAGATCAAGGGCAAAAATCCATAGCAATGAAAACTAAAAGGCTGTTTCAAACAAAAACATGAAACTTGGTTGTTTTATAAATATATAGGGTTTTTTTTTTTTCTTTTATTGAAAGCAAAACTAACAACTGGTTGGTTTCAAATGTTTTTTTTTTAAAAAAAAAAAAAAAAAAAAAGAAGAAGAAGAAGAAGAAAAAAACAGAAACAGAAAATGAAAACAATACTAACCGATCCTCATGTTGCCTATATTTGTCTGAGATGACGACAACATCTGTAGCTGTTCACGACAACAGTTGAGCTATAATAGCATTTCTTTTACAGTTATATACCTATGAAGAAATTCTCATCTCCAGATCATTAAACGGATCTTACTTGATCAAAGCATTCGTAAGATCATATTTAAGAAACTGCTGCTACAAAAAGTACATCGAACATTCTTCCTCAGAAACAACCATATACAAAAGTAGTCAGCATCTTTTATAGGACAACGTTAATAAATAGTTGCAACAACTAAAGCTTTCAGGCCTGGAAAGCTGTCCATAAGATCAAAACACCATTTATGATCAGAAAGCTCCTCCTAATCTGCAACTCCTTACATAAAATCCAAAGCACCAAGATAATTATCAGAAAGCTCCTTCAAGCGCATGCAAATCATTGCATAAAAGCAAAAACTGGACCATTCTTAGACTTCTTAAGTAGATGTGCCGGCAGAGACAGGGCACAGCCTAAGTCTGAGAATCCTGAAGGCATACCACTCCATACAACATTAAAATAATGGAGGATATTTAGTATGAGCTGAAATTGGGGTTTCTCTTACAGGACTGAAGGTACCAGTTCCCTTTAATAACTCATTTATAAAGTACTCTTCTTCACCTTGGGCTTGTGTTGTGGGAAACAAAGAACCTATAGTCAGGATGATTAACTTGCAAAAGCCTAAGCCAGTTGTCAGCAGCTCTTAATAATGAACCAGACTTTTGACATTCATATAATCCATTCGGATTCCAAAATGAAACTTTAAACTTATAGGAAGCAAGCCCAAAAGTCGGCAAAGGTAGCTTGAGGGACATGTCAGCACGGTGAAGCTCCCTAACTGTAGAACCATGAAGTTGCATCCGCTCAGTGTTTTGACCTGTCCCAACAAGAAACCCAACAAACACATAAGACTTCAGGCAGATATAGAAGTTCACCACGGACATACACACACATAAACAAGGAAAGAGATGTACTTTGAAAGGTTGTTGATAGAGAATGATAGGTTAGAAAGCAGGCATCCAGATTCTGCAGGGTTGGACCCATGGGTATCCTATATATTGGATACCAAGCCACCGAAATCCAACTTGAGGGTGATAGATCACAGCTCCTCAATGTCTTGAGTTCTGGAAACTGAGATGCAAGAACCGAAATCTGAAGAAATGCAAGACTGTTGATGTTAGTATTGATGAACAAGGGGAAATATAGACAAAGACAAAGAAAAAGAAAAACAGCAAACTTAAAATTTTAAGTCAATTAAAGACATTGAACTTGCCTGGTCAGCCAAAGGTTGGCGTGTAAATGGTGAAGCATATTCCATGTATTCAAAAATAAGCCGACCTGGTGGATTGGAAATCTCACATTCATCACTAGATGAACCCCTTAAAGGTTTATTTCTCAGAGAGAGTCTACTCAAACTCTGAATATTAGTGTCTGTAACATTAAGCTGGTTCAAAGGCTCCCAAACACCATTGCTTGCTACTCTCTCTGCTCCATAGTCACTGCTACCATCACTACTTGTTTCCCTGGATGACTCTGTATCACTCTCCTCACCAGGCCTCCTGTCAGAAGATGAAAGCAATAACAATGTAATGCAACAAGCTTACTTGCTAATTGACAGGTACAGCTAAATAGTTTCAAACATCTAGAATGTTCACTTTAATCTGTCATGTTCACTTTAATTTATCATTCTTTCCATTGGAAGGACGCTGTACTGCATAGGCATCCAAGTACAAAAAGTAACCATCTAGTGAATACAATTTAAAATGCAAGTAGTCTGTCCGAAAGGCTGGCGAATTCCTTTCTGACATATTGAAGAAAATTATACAATGTTACTTTCGGTCATAATTGATATCTGGACCACTGAGAAACCGTTCATCATCATTAACATTACAGTTTCAAAATGTCAGCAAATGCTCCACAAGGAGGCAGCAAATGGAACTGTGCCGATACCACACTCAGGAACCTAGGAACATGCAGTCAAACAAACATAGAAATTCATATGGATAAATCTTTTTCCCCCTCTTTTAATAGTTCTGCATAATACCTCTGTGATTCATTCAAGTCAAAATAAGTACCAGTAAATGGCCTAGCCATTCCCTTGACGGATTATCTCTTGAAAGGTAAATATTTGTTTGGCAAAAGTATTCACAGAATTATACAATGAATTATTTGAGTAACCACTACTACCAGAAAAGAAGTGGCTCCTAATTCTCCAAATAGTATTAATTATTTCTAGTCTTGCACTTGCAGCCACAAGGTAGCAGTTTTGGCCTCCCAGGTGATGCAGGACAGCTTAGGGGCTGTTCTGGATCTGATTTTTTGGGGGGCTGTTTAGGGGCATTTAGGTTGTATTGAAGTAGGTTTCTGCTGGAATGTAAGGAAGTGTGTGGGTAGGATTCTTAGAAGTCGCACCTAAGGGAGACCAAGTCACACAATCAGAAGCAAATCGCTGGAAATTGTTTGATATTATTGCATACTGAATATTGAAAGACTATATGCTGAATTTATAGAGTTGGAGAAGTTCAAATCCAATTAGAACAAGGATTCCTAAACCTGCAACATAACTATTCCTAATTAGACTAGGTAAACCTATAACTATTTCAATTTTAGAATATGAAAACTAACTTTAGAACTAATAAAATACTTAAACAGAAATACTATAATTTCAGATTTTCCAGCAGCTCTGAAATTACTGTAATGCCCTAAGCATTGGAATTATTCTTAGATTGTCTTCTAAAAACCTTTGGGGGCTGCTGCCCACGTCCCCCATCACCAGGATGCCTCTCAAAGGGGACCACATTTTCATTAAGGGTTTTTAGGATAGTGGTGACACCAAAAAAATGATCATGTAAACCTTACATAATGCATTGGTGGGTGGCTCCATTTGACTTTGGATCCATCATGCAAACAGAATGTGGTCACCAGACATTACAGCACACAACACTAGGATGCAGAATTTGCTTCTATTTTCTGTTAAAGAAAAGTGCCAATTTGTTTCTCAGGAAGTTTTTAAGAAAAGATACACCTAGTAAAAGGCAGATAAAACAATCAACTACAAAATAAAGATTAACATACCCCCTCATCCAATAGAGATGTAACACAATCAAAGAGAACTCAACATAAATAGCCTCCTAATTATGGAATACACCAATAGTTAAAAAAAAAAATTAAGAAAAAAAATCCAGAAAACAAATATGAAACCATAACCTCTTTCAAATAAAACCAAGTTTGAAGAATTTAGAACTGTTTGTTAATAGGAATAATGACTTTCTGATTTAGATAAAAGGGTCATCCACAAAATGGAATGTCTGTCAAACACTTAATGTTAAAAGGACAAACTAACATCATCCAGCGGCAGAAATCCATAGAAGCACATTGACAGAACTAGGTACTAGTATATATAAAATATCTAAAATGCCAATCCTCACTAAGAGTACTACAAACCTATCATTTCTGTAACATAAAGTTGATTCCAGCCTTTCAGTGTGTCCAAACAGTAAACAAATAAAATGAAACTAAGTAAGGCAGATAGTTAATCAATCACCTAAGCTTGATGCATACAATTTGGTTTTAAGATTACAATATTGCAGAATGGTCACACATTCCAAGTTCACATCAATAAATCCATCAAAACCATGCCAGGATAGCAATTGGAACTGGACAAATTAATAAAATGAAAAATATAACCAAATAAGAAGCCTAGACAATGGCTCACCTCAGCCTTAGGGAGGGTCGTGATGGGTCTATATACAGCTGAATGCCAGACAAATAGGGAACATAATACTGCACAACAGTCTCGCTTCCATTCAACAGAAGAGGAACACCTGCTCCATATGCACTCCACTCCTTAAAAGATTCCCATAAATCCCCAAGCACAAAATACAAGTTCTGGTGATGCTGTACTTCACGTGTTCTCCATCCCCTAACACTTGTCTGTACAACCCACAGATGCCACCATTAAAAGAACATACATATCTCACTAAAACATAAAAACATTCAACTCATTTCAATCTAAGCAAACTCAACAACAATCAAATCAGTTTTCCCAAAGATTCATTTAGAAGCAAAAACATAATAATTAATAACTTGGAATCAAAATAAAACATTTTTCAACAATTGTTTCTAGATTAATTAACTGAATTTTAAACCCTAAACCTTCAGAATTTAAGACCTTCAATCAATACTAACACCTATAAAACATCACATGCCATTAAACAAACAACATAGTAAATCAACCTGCGAAAAAAGCTAATTAATCGTCCAATGGAGTCATTTATAATCAAGACCTTAATAAATCATAGATGATTGCGGTCAAAATTAAACATTGTAAAAAAACCATTGCTTGATTAGTTAACTTAATCCACAGCCTTATATATCCCAATTTAATTAACTAATCAAAGCCTAATCTTATCAACTAAATTAATCATGTCCTTGAAAATTTAATACTTTAATCAATAGTAACACAAATTAAGCCACAAAATAAAAAACCCACACAGCAAAAACCATAAAAATCAAAACTTTATAGCAAAAAAAAAAAAAAAAAAGAACCCACAAAAAGGTTTCCTTAATTACCTTTGGCAAAAACTGCGCAGGTACAACAGGAGTAGTATGCTCCAAGAATCGATCCAAATTCGTGGGGTTACTCTCGGACCCAACCCGTCCAGAAACAGAACAATTCGACCCACATTGATCGGACTCCTTTCTCTTCTCAATCTCCAACGTTGAATTCTTCGAAATCGACGGCTTGGGCTGCTGCTGCTTCTGTTGTTGTAATTGCTGTTGTTTTCGGATCCCGGGTGAAACATAGAACCGATTCTCTCCACGGGTTCGAGCAATAGAAACACCACCGGAGCCAGACATTTTACGAAATGGAAAAGAAAACGGAGGCGAAGCTTTTCGAGTTTTTTAAGTTTTAGAAACAAAGTTGTATAGGTTTTATTGATTGTGTTTCTTTGGTACAAAGGAAGTCTCTGTTTCAGATTTTATTTTGTGTGCGACTCTGAAAAATAATAATAATAATAATAACAATGTAAGAGAGAGAAACGAGAAGACTGGAGAGAATTTTCTTTTTTCTTTCTTTTTATGTGTTTGTGTTTATGTTCATTTACACTACACAAGGACAACGTTCGTTTTTATATTAACTATTAATTGAGTTTGCTTTCCTATTGTTTATTATTCTTATTTTGGACTCCAAATAAACATATAAATAAAAAGTTGAGAAAGTAGTTTTAATAATTTATTTGACAATAAATATAAGGATATTTTCGAATGGATTTGTGTGTTTAACGATATTAAATCTTTCTCTAAACAAATTTTAAGTAGATTTTTTTATATATATTAGTAACATATATTTACATAAATTTAATATAAAAAAATTTAGTATTGACTTCAAAATTTAAATTTATAAAATTAAGAAAGATATCATGCCTCTTTAACCCTTGATGCTCCAATCTAAAAAATTAACAAAGATAATACCTTTTCAACTTGCCAAATGAATCTATTAAACTTGGGTAATTTTATTACAAATATACCATTTTAATTTTTAGACATAAATAGCCTTTATATTTAATTAGAAAAGTATATAGTTTAATGGTTGAAAAGCTAATCTAATAATATGTTGATACAAACAAAGTTAGAATATATACATATATAGTCTCTCTAGTTTTAAAAACTAATTAATTATTTTTTTATCCACTTTATTTTTTTTCTAATTTATTTTTTAAATAGAAAAAAACAAAAAGTAAATACTATAGAAATATTGGTTAAAAGATTAATTAATTAGTTTTTAAAACTAAAGGATTATTTAATCTATTTTGCAAAACTAGAGGGACTAATTAATAATTCACTTATATATATATGTTTGGTTTCAAATGTTTGAAATGAGAGATGCGGGTCATGGTTGAGGCTTAGGATTTTTTTGACTTTTGTTGAAGTGATTTGGGTTTGGGGTAAGGAGGATGGTTGAAGATGGATTAGGTATTGGGTCCAAGTAGGAGCCTGTTTTGGTCCTTTTATTTTTATGGTTTGTTTGTTTGGTTGTTTCCAAGATTTTTGTTGGAGCAGAAGCAGCAGGGGAATATCCTCCTGCGCCAATAATGGAGAGATACTTGATGCCAAACTAAGTATATCAATGAGATAGGAGGATTACAAGACATAAATACAAACACGTTTGACCATCAATGAAACTGTAAGGACCAAAAGGTAACAACGGATCCACCTATATGTTTTCTACCACTGTGTTATTGAATTTTTTTTTTTTTTTCCTTCTACCACGGTTGGATTGGATCGACCCGAGAACTTTCTCCATCTATAGGTACCTATTGGTTTTTTTTTAAATCAATTTAATAAAAAAAAATTAAGTTTAAAAAACAAACGACGTTTCATCCTTAAATCATATAATAAAATTTAAACTTCAAATCTATATATAAAACTATAAGAATCTTTTAGGAATCATAAAATTAAAATTCATTTATTATATTAAAAAATAAATAAAATTACAGCTCTATCAAATAAAAAACAAAACAGGCTAAAATATTGAGTTAGGGTTGAATCTGATGACGGTATGGTTATACCACTTGCCCACTCTAGACAAGACAAGGTCAGATTTACTCGCCAACTGGATGAAAATCCAATAAAATTGCCATTTTTACTCAAATTAAATATTACATCCAAATTCTTTTTAAAAAAGTAAATTTAATTATGTCCAAGCTTAATTCACAAGGCATTCTGATAGGTCCTGCTAGCTATATTTCAGTTTGTGTAAATTAGGAAGTTGAGTTGGAGCACTGATCAATAAAGTTGTGTTTATTTGAGAGAAAATAAATTTTAGAAACTTTTCTTTTTCTTTTTTCTCATTTTTTTATGTTTGTTTTGTCTTTTAAAAAAAAGTTAATGAAAAATGATTCTCATTCAATTAAAAAATGATAGAATATTTTTAAAAAAGTATTTTCCGAGTTAAAAAAGAGAAAAACTTTTCTCTTTCTCCCTCATGAATTGTCTGGCTCTCGCATTACTCACTTCTCTCTTGATATATTTGAACAGCTTTTTTCCCCGTCTCCTTTTTATTTAAAATATTTCAAATTAATTTTTAATCATTTTTTATCAATTATTATTACTTATTTTTTTTTCCTCTATTTCTACTAACATTTGATTTTTCAATTTATAAATACATTAAATATTCTTAAAAACCTTTTTTACACCTTAAAATTATTTTTATAATAAATATTTCAATAATTTATCTCTATTTTTTTATCATTATCTTAAACATCATCTAAACTATACTTAAATGATTTAAAATAATTAATTCATTAATAAATATATTATTTTCCCAATACTATTCATTTACAACTATATCAATAATTTTTTACTACTTTTAATTAGTTGTAAAATTTTGTTGGTAATTGTATTTAATTAGTTACAAATTATTCCAACATTAATATTTTGAAAGGAAATGAATAACTATCTACAAATGATAACTAATAATTTATAAAAATATTTTTTAGAATAAATTAACGAGTTCAATTTTCAAAAAAAAAAAAAAGAATTCTTAATTGAGTTACCAAAATAACAATGCTAGGCTTACTTAGAAATTTTTTTACTAAATGTTAATATTGACTTAAGTTTGTCCCAAGTGGTTTTGATGAATTGGTTTGATGGTTAAAAATATATATTTTATTTTTTGATTTTTTAATTTAAATCTTAGAGTTAGTATTTATAAAAATTTATTAAATTTTTCTAAATGTATCTTATATTGTGAAATTGTAAATATGTCTTGTTAAAGTTCCCTCAAAACTCATTGATGTAACAATCAAGTCTCGTTTTTGTATTTTAGTTTTTTGTATCAAACAAACACCGTAATATATTTTTCAACGGCTTTTTTATGTAATTGTCAAACGTCGGAAAATATTTTTTTTTTGGAAAAACAACTTTTTGGAAAATAGTTTCTCCATAATTGATTTTCCTATTGGAAGTTATTTTCTACCAAACAAATAGAGCCTAAATTCCATACACGATTTTGATTTAGACAATAACATATGGTTTCATTGCCTTTGCATTAAAAAAAAAAAACTTACACATTGGTGACGCTTCTCATATTATAAGATGAACCAATGGACACCTTGTTAGTAAATGAATTCTTATTTTTCTTTTACTTTTTTTTAACAAAGAATTTTTATCTCGTAGCGTTTGTTATTTGTTAATAACTAAAAAAAAAATCTCTTTTTAAGAATCGACTAAAAAGTAGATATGATCTAATATTATTGGTTTGGTCTCAAAATAATAAATTTAATTTCAATTATATATATACACACACTAAAGGAAGATGCATAGGAAATAGGCCATGTTCCACTTGTGATTCTAAGCTTGATGGATTGATTTAAGGGTTTATTTAATGTCTTTGTTGAATTGGCTTATGATTTTGGGAATTTTGTTAGCAAGAGTTTGACCTTTTTTTTTTTTTCACTATTTTTCCCTTCTTCTACAAGCTGAATTTATAGCCCAAAATGGTGGACTTTTCATTGGTTTAACTTGATCCTCACCTTTCATTTGGTTTTAATCTCCACCATTTATTTTACGTTTAATCCTAGCTATCCATTATCTAAATCTTAGATATCCATTTGTTAAATTAATAATTACACTCATTTAATGGGGGGGGGGGTTAAGTGATAGGTTTGGAGGAGAAAATCTTGGCCAAATATTTATTTTGGTCCCTTAATTTATCATGTTACTTTATTTTACTCCTACATTTTAGCCCTTCCAATTTTTAAATGACTGTTTTTTATCCTTCCCTTAGGCTTTTTCCAATATCTTCATGCCCTCCTAAAATTTATTTTAGGGATAAAACTTTTAATTTTGTGTAATTGGGTCCCTAATTTTTATGCAATTAAGTCCCTATGTACATAATTAATTCCACACACTTCGGAAAAATAATTTATTTTCACAATAAATTCATACATTTTTTATAGTAATTTATTCCTTAATCACATAATTTTTATGCACTTATTTAGGCACTCAAAATAGTTATTTTGCATAAAAAGCATTATTCATTCACGGAGAAGTCAATAAAATATTCACCACGTATAGAAAAATTAACCTAAATGCACGAAATATCCTAGCACCCATCTAGCCATTATTCTATACACATAAAATAATTTTCATACATATTTAATATATATTAGTTTATTTATTCATAGGTTCAATTTGTGTTGTTTTTTAGGCATAGTAACGTTTTGTCTACATTAAGTTAATGGGTGTTGAATTTTGATTATTTTGATATCTTGATTGTTGGTTTCAAATAATGTGGATATTTTATGCATGTGCATTCTTCGACTTGTCTTTACAAATTTGATATCATAGCCTAGGTTGCTTTCATATGTATTTTATTGATAAGTGTGAAAATGCCTCTTAAAAAACCATAGCTCAATACCTCTTTAGTTAAGATACAAATGAAGATAGAAGGATTACAATAAGAAATTGAGGGACTTCAAAGGAGAAATCTAGAGGTAGATGATCAAGATTTAAAGGGTGAGAAAAAGGATTTTTGACCAAAGAATCTCTTCCATAACCTTCCAACTAAATCTTTAGAGAAAGAAGAAGTTGCATCTTATGAGAGCTAAAAAACAAGAGATAATCACAACGCTAAGATTATGGTGTTAAGGTAGAGATCCTTGAATTTAAAACAAGACTTGATTTTGACGACTTTATCAAGTAAAACTTGACATAAAGAGTGTTTGATTTTAAAAATGTACCAAATGACAAGAAGGTCAAGATTGTAGCCATTAACTAATAAAGAATGCTTTTATATGATGGGAGAATTTGAAAAAGCGAAGGGTTCGAGAGGGTAAAGATCACCTTGTGGGAGA